TCTCAGCTTCCCTTTTTCCCTTTCTCCTTCTTTCCCAATTTATCTGCCTACCACAGCACAGATACTCAACACATAATTCTGAACCAACAGATATATGAATCCATTCAACCATCCATCCATCCCTATATCGCCTGCCACCTCCACCTCCTACCTGGCTGTAGCTGGCAATAGATGTGGGGCTCTGAAGTGGCATCTGAGGATTCCCCTCGGGAGGCAGTGAGGCTTCTCCACTCCCTGGAACGCCTCCCCGTGGGCTCTTGCTTGCCTCCTGTTCTGGTGAGTCCTGGGATAGCTGAAGGTTGTGAAAGAAGAGAAATCTATAAGCAGATGCTAAACATCCTCCCAAGACCGATGGTTCCACACCTGCTGGTATTTGACCTTGGCCCCAAACTTAGGAAATGACTGAAAAAGCAGGCAAAGATGTGGAAGGAGCAGCTGACTCATAAAGGGCATCTCATTGAGGTGGAGACTTACATCATCATCGGGAGGGTGTCTTCTCTTTCGGGAGATGTCAGGGCAGGTATCGATTGTCCAATAAGAGCCCTAGAAGGTGAACCCATCCCCAACAAAGAAAAAAAAAAATCATTATATATGGAAATTCCCACCTTTGGAAAAGTAGACATTTGAAGGGATTTTCACATAAAATAAGAGTTATATTTTTAAAAATATAACTGGACTGAAATTCAACTATACTTCAATTTAAAAAAATAAATAAATAATATTAAGATTAGAGAAGATCATCTGTCTGGAACCTTAAAAAAAGGAAAGAAAAGAAAAATGATTGTAAATTCACAGGACTGTAATCCTGAGGGTACCAGCTATTTTTGAGGACTAAATTTGTCCTAACAGCTCACTGAGGCCTCGATCATTCTAGAGGGACAGAACACAGCATCTAGTTCAAAGAGCTGGAAATGTCCAGACCAACCCTTCCCTTCCACATGATCTGAGGCAAAACTCTCTTGGACTTCAGCATCCACAGCTGTCAAACAAAGAGGATGATCTATCCCTTCTTTCTTTTGAAGGTACAATCATGGGATTTTTATACAGAAAAACTCCTACAAAGGTTATTAAGCCCACCTTTTACATCTAGAAAGAGCACCATGCACAAAAAAGGGGGCATCAAGGTCCATTTTTTAAATAAATATTTCTATTAAAAAAAAATGTCAGTCTTCCTTAGTCATTCACTCTCATGGGGACCCACCAGCTTGATAACCAAGCTCTTCCTTTGAGGAAAAAAAACAAAGCTGCTTCTCTAATTAACATGATTTCCTCTTCTGGGTATTAAAACAGCCATAGGACTCTAAGCTGTCAACTGCTTATCACTCCTTCCCCCCCTCCCTTCACCGCTTACAGCAGAATCTCACCTTCCCAGGATCATCCCGAGGTCTGGGCACCTTCCGGAAACACTTGTTGAGAGAAAGGTTGTGCCGAATTGAATTCTGGGGAAGCAGAGAAGCAAGTTAGACTTGAGCATCGTGCAAAGCAGAAAATTTTCCAGTAGTGCACAGAGCGACACAAAGGGATATAACACACACTAAAGTTCAAGTATCAGGGTGAACACAGCACCTCTTAACTATACGGATGGAGGAAATTACCTATCAGATAGCAAAAGAGCAATGAGATAAGAAAAAGGAAGCAATTAAATTGATGAGAGGTAATGGCTGTAAATTTGACTATCAGGTGCTTCTAGAAAGCTGATTACATAGTTTTTCAATCTTTCCACCCAACTAACAACAGGTATATAAATGCCTCAAAATCACATCTGCCCAAACCTAAGTGTCCATCAATAGATGAATGGATAAAGAAGATGTGGGGTGTGTGCATACACACACACACACACACACACACACACACACACACACCACAGAATACTACTCAGCCATAATAAAGTATGAAATTTTGCATCTGCAGCAACATGGATGGACTTGGAGAGCATTATGCTTAGTGGAATAAGTCAGACAGAGAAAGACAAATACTGTACGATATCACTAACATGTGGAATCTGAAAAATACAACAAACTAGGGAATATAACAACAAAGAAGCAAATTCACAGATACAGAGGACAAACTAGTGGTTATTAGTGGGGAGAGGGGAGTAGGGGCAATATAGGAATAGGGGAGTAAGAGGTACAAACTATTGTGTATAAAATAAGCTGCAAGGCTATATTGTACAATATGGGAAATACAGCCAATATTTCATAATAACTATAAATGGAGTATAACCTTTAAAAATTGTGAGTCACTATACTGTATCTATAACTTATACCTATAACTTATTATTGTACCTATAACTTACCTATAACTTACATAATATTGTACAGCAACTATACTTCAATTAAACAAAAATCACATCTGCCCAGTTCCTTAATTCATTCTATCAGTAGTGAAAGAACAATGTTTTAAAACTGATGGTGTGGGAATTCCCCAGCGGTCCAGTGGTTAGGACTCGAGCTTTCGCTGCCAAGGGCGTGGGTTTGATCCCTACTCGGGGGACTAAGATCACACAAGTCAAGTGGTGTGGCCAAGGGCAAAAAAAAAAAAAGCAAAAACTGATGATGTAAATGATAACAAAATATAAATTATGAGTGAAACAAGGCACACTTTGCCTTTGTCTTCTCAACAGCCCATGGAATGGTCACACTTGGAGGAAAGAAATATTGTTGCTACATGTCTTGGATGAGGTGGCTGGAGGCTATGGCAGCTAGCAGGAACATGTTTCTAAAGGAAACACTAAATGCTTTCAACAGTCTCCAGCTCATCATCTGGTCTGTATGTCAGCCAGTGATTTACAGAGTGACAGACCTACATTAAATCCCCATTCCTACTCAACAACTGGCAAGCGAGTGATTGCTCCAAAGGACTGAGAATATCAGTCTTCCTTCTTTGCTTGGAAGAGGAGGCCCCTTTTTCCTTTATCTCCAGCCAAACAACTTATCCTCTCCTTCCTTGCATGGTGGATGAGCTGTTGGGGAAGAACCTAATTATATTATTCTTTTTCTTCGTACACAATTTTTCAAAAGGTGCTGACTATGTGGAATGAAGCTCTGCAAACCTGAGGAGATGCTACCTCTAGGTAGGATGGAGCAATGCCACACTTTGCACATGACTTCAACAGAGTAGAGTGGCAATGAATATCTGTGAAATGAACCAGAAGATAAGAGGGTCTGATAAGCGTCAGCATCCTGTTGCCCCCATAACTATACTTAGTGGCTTGGTATCCCTGGCGTTTCCCCGATACACCTTACGGAAGTTGTTCAACTCTGGAAAAAAAGTGACGGATGGGAGATTTGAGATTTTTAAGTTCACACGTCTCTGAGACGCTCAGAGTGAACTGGACCAGGTTATAGGAAGAAATAAAAGTAGAGGAAAAGGTTGCCAAGGCTAAGAATCATCTCAGGGTATGGAAGCCGTCCCACCTTCCAACCAATGCCAGCATTCTTGTAATAGGGGAAGTTATCACAGATCCAGCGGTAAATCTCACTGAGGGTCATCTTCTTGGCTGGAGAGGAGTTGATGGCATAGGTGATGAGGGTGGCGTAGCTGTATCGGGGTTTGCCATCCTGGTGGACGGCTGCCTCATCTTTGCTCAGGGTGGCGTTAGGATCTGTGGGTGAGCCTGGTGGACATTTGCGGCTGCCGCCTGGAGGCCCAGCCTGGGAGGCGCTCCCAAGCTTCTCGATGGTAGCCCGGAGGGTCAGCTGGGGGAGCCAGTCTATGGAGGTGAGGCTACTCTCTAGGTCAGAAGCCATGGTACTTCTGGGTTCTGTAGAGAAGAGGAAAACAGAATAGACAAATGTTACCTGTGGTTGGTTACTGGTGGCAAGTAATACACAAATCCTAGGGCTTTAAGGGGAGGAAAGGTTCTTCCCACTCTAATTCCTGTACAAGACTCCTCCCCTGGGATAAGCCCTCAACCAGGTGTTACCAGAACCCCCAAACAGATATGTCACCAGCTACCTACCAGGTGACAGACTGGTATTTATTCTACATCTTCATGTGGAACATGGCCAAGAGGCCTCTCCCTTCGCACAGGACTAAAAAGGAGATCAAACCGCCCACCAAACTGAGCTATTCCCTCAATTCTTCTCACTTAAAGCCCTATAACGTAATTTTTTTAAATTATGTAGAAATAAATTTTTTAAATAAAATAAAATAAATAGGTAAAATCAGCCAAAGTCTATTCTCCAATTATGTGACGCTTATTATATTTACATTCAACATCCACAGATAGACAGCACGGGTGAATGTGCAAAGAAAAACAACCAGAGTAAACACAAGTATACACTAATGAAGCGCACACCAACACTTTTAAAGACGTTTCACGTTAGTTTCATACCAGTGCTCACCCTTTTTATCGCACATATGCGTGCACGTGAGGCGTATTACATACTTCCCAACATAAGTTACATGTGACAACCAGCCAAGCACAGATGCAAGACAGACACATCAACAGTGGCTCACCACCAGAGATCACAATGAGATACACGGCGTAACGTTACCCATAGGGCACAAAGTCACACACAGAGCGAACGGAGCCCGAGCACAGCTGCCCTGGCACCTTTAAAGCTCCCCCTGGCGAGCTCCCGCCCACAGACACCGACACCAGGAAGAAGTCATTGGCAAGGCCCTCCCACCTCTCGGCCTGCCCTGCTGCACTGAGCCAGGGAGACACCCAGCTGCGTGCTCACCGGTAACAATCAGATCGCCGGGCTAAAAATAACCACTCTGGGGCTAAGGGCTAGCTCCCCTTCTCCCGCCCTCCTCCTCTCGCCTTCCTTCCCGGCCTGGCACGCACGCTCACTGCACCTCCATGCAAACTCCTGACGCTGCCAACCCGCCCACGCCTGCTGTCTGCACGCCCGGCTGCCACCCACGCAGCCTGGGCGCTCTTGCAGGCGGAAAGGTGCAGCTAGAGTGACGTCTCGGTGGGAGAAGGTGAAGAACGGTGGGTGAGATCTGTATCGCAGAATCTGGAAAGGCTGGCAGGAACCACTTGGTAGCCATTTGGCTCTCCCCTGGGGTCGATGCCAGCCACCCCCCAAGCGCTTGCTGCCTGACCGGCTCGTGCCTGCACAGCCGGCCAGATTCCAGCTAGGATTTCTTCCTCGGACCCCTGCTAAGGGTCCATCGAGGCGTCCAAGGCTAACATGCCTCAGAATCCTGGACAGAAAACCTATTCCGTATATAACCTCTAAATCCACACCCAGATAATACGCACCAGCGTTACATACAACTACACACACATCCACACACTTTGTTGTTAGAAGCTCAATCGCAGATATGCCTGCCTTCCCCAGTCTCCGCCTCCAACACATCTTTCAGGCTATTGGCTCACTCTTCTAGTTAGAGACTCTTCTACCCTGGAGACATTCTCCGAAGGGTCAGCATTCTCACTCACCTCCCAATTCCCCAAGTTCCCCACCCACGCAGTCTCTGCAAGCACGCGCATGTCCCCTGGCCCTGCGCAACACGCCCACTCCCGAAGGCTCGAGGAAACACCTTAACGCCTCGGGGGCTTGGGCAGCGTGAGACCCAACTGCAACCCAAGAATTGCTTGACAGGAGGAAAAACTTTAAAGGCCCTGTTCAGAAACAGCACCACGATGGGGGTTCCCCTTTATCCTTAGCTCCTCTCCCCACCACTCTCCTTGCCATCCCACCACCACCATCTTGCCCTAAAACCAGGGAAACTTGGAAACTAATAGGGACATTTAAGCATTCCAGGAAGCCTCAGACCTCCTAGCACTTTACTAAGTCAAAGCAGCACAGCTTCTGGGGTAAAGCAGGGTGCGATGGGCAGCCACCTCGTCCTGTAGCTGGGTTATCCCAGCTGAACGGTGACATGGCAATGAGCGGGTTCACGATGACCAGGGTTCTCCTGGGTCTGTAAGGAAGTTTTACCCTATTCCCTATTGTCTCCTGCTAAAGATCCTTGGGAAATCTCACCTTAAGTACACAGAAGCCTTCAGGGCACATTTCATTTGAAACTCTCCAGACATTGGACAGGGAGGGACATGAGAGTACAATCAAAGTGGTTTACAAAACCCATTTGGCAGTGCCAATCACTGTGAATTCCGGAAAGCGAAGCACCCTTGGCCTTTTGCTACTTGTTCTATGCCCTTCCCTAGCGCTTACCCAGTACCAGGTTAGGACACTGAGGTTAAATTTAACCTTTCTCCAGCACCCTCCCAGCCAGCCCTCCAGATACCGCCCCAGCACTCAAAATATCTTCCGATAGATGCAGCGAAAGATCCCTGTGATCTTTCAGCACCATTCTCCCTAAACCCATCCCATTTCCTCACCCCCATCACTTCCCCATTCTTGAAGGGCAGCCCAGTGTGTGGAACCTCAGAGAATGAGGTTCCTTGATTCTATTCCCAACCTTGACATTAACTCACTAAATGTCCCGAACCGCCCCTTGCTCCCTGAAGTCTTCCTGCCTCAGTTTTCCCCTTTCAGTAAAAGGGATGCAGTCATAAACACTGTCCAAGCTTCATTCCTGGAGGGACGTGAAAGAAGCTTAAAGAGCCAATGGCTGCCACACATTCCACACCCCCCAAAATAATGGCACCAGGCTAATGTTCAGGGCTATTATTAGAAAGGCACACAAAAGGTACTTCCATTTCTCAGTCCAACCAACCTAGTTACCCAGACCTCTCTCTCCAGGTGGGCCTCGTGCCACTGGGCTGGGGCAGAACCTGAGTCAGGCTACATTCTTCTCTTCGAGCTGGAAGACTGAAAGGAAATACCCATAGAAACTGGGAAAGGCAGCCAAAGGGCAGGCTCCATCACATCCATGGAACGTCTAATGAACACCACACTACTGGGAGAAAGGCAGAGAACAGAAAGACATTCTATGGGGGGGGGTGGGTGCTGATCCTGGGTGAGACATGTAAGACCCAAAATAATAGGCACAGTTTTCTTCCCATTTTCTCTGAAAGGTCAGTAATTGTTTTCTGTACGGTGCCAAGGTCACACATTAAGGAATGATAACTTCCTACTCTGTACATAATGCAGAAACTAATAGAGCAGTGGCTAAGTCTGCCACATTACCGATTACCAGCCAGGCTGCCTGGGTTTCAATCCTGGCTTCACTACCTACTGGCTGTGCAACCTCAGGCAAGTTACTTAACCTCTCTGTGTTGCAGTTTCTCCATTGGAAAACAGAGGTGATAACCATACCTACATAGGGTTGTTGGGAGGATTACCTTGAGTTAAAATTTTTAAAGCACTAGTGTTATGTAAGTATAGCAATTACCATTTTTGAATGAGAAAAAAAGGAGAATATTAGAAATTGAAAATTAGAAAATGGACAGACCATACAGGTAAGCCTGGAAGTAGCGAACTTGCAGTGGTTTACACCTGCACTGAGTTCTCAATAGTTTTCAGGATGTCAGAATCTCAAACTTTTCCTTTGGGGGGAGTGTCACCCCAGGACTGACCAATGCCAGGACTAGCAAACTCCCCAGGATGAAGAAATGGGGGAATATCATCCCTTATTTTTCAGGGGGAACTAGGTCTAGTCATAAGACATGATATGGAAAATAGCACCCTCTAAGTCATAGTTACTCCAACTCAATAGCCATATGCTTCTAACTGATTCCACGGAGGCAAGGAGAACTAGGCAAACTCAGTCCCAGCAGGGCCAGTTACACTGTGTGGCAGTGAGACACCTGCAGGTGTTGTGGTCCAGCTCACTGTGAGCCATTCAACAAGTAGCATTCCAGCATCTGGTAAAGTACTTTGTGAGAAATAGTCTGCTGTTCCACAGAGCTGGCTCTTTTCAAAAAATGGGGTAGGGAGTTCTAGAGTTAAGAACCAAGGATCCTCATGCTATTTAGACCAGAAACATCAGAAATGAAGCTCTCTTATCAGTCCTAGAAGAAGTGGTCCTAGCCTGAGACTGGGCTGCCCTGCTGCGTGGGATGACTCTCATGCAGCCATTCATGAGGGTTCCCACTGGACAGCGCAGGCCAAGCCTTTCCTCCCAGCTGTGCATTCTCACCAGCACCCTCTCCACATTCCTGCACAGGGGCACCTGCTCTTAGAGGCCTACCAGAAACGCACAGTTCTAGGTAACTGGAGGCTTAGTCTGAAAAGCACACATGTACCTGTCCCCGCACCTTGCACGGATGTGGATAGAGCCACATCCACCTGAAGTAAGAAACAGACGCACATCATTCTACAGCACAGCCATACAAACCTGAATTAGAGCCCTGTCTCACTGACCATGACTAACAGGTAACTTCCAGGACCCAGTGGATGTACTTAGAGACTCAGTCCACCCAATGCCCAGACAGAGAAAGGAGGAAACATCAAAACCCAAATAAGATGAAGCCTCCCACTTAGACTCTCTGTGGGGTCTAATGCCCCTTACAGGAGACAAGGTATTTCCTAAAGGTGAGGCAGGAAAGCAGGCACCCAGCTAGGGATCCCAGGTTGAAAGGCAGAGCACTACTAAACCCATAGCCCAGGCTCAGCCAGAAGGAGTTCCTGGCACCTTTTTCTTGCCTTTTCTGAACAGTCTGGGCTTTGATGATTCCTGCTATTATCTTATGAAAGAAAACTTACATACAAGGTTCCAGAGACCCAGAACTGAACAAGAAACAGGAAGGGAGTGGGTGAGACTATTAGGTGCTTTTCTGAAAGGAAACCCCTTGGGGGTTCAAATCTCCCTGGCAGTCAACTGTTTTTTTTTTTTTTTGCGGTACGCGGGCCTCTCACTGTCGTGGCCTCTTCCGCTCTGGAGC